ACTGCTGGTGGATGCTTAGCATCAGCTTCAGAGGTCCTCTTCACTATAAATGCTGGGGCCAAAATGGTGCATAATAAGTAAAATACCTATAGAAGGCTTACAGTCATGAGAACATGTCTTTATGACAAACATAAAACTCTAAGCTAAGTTTTGTTGCCCATTAAGATTGTGCAATATTCCCAGAAAAAGGGTCGTTGTCCAAAAGCACGTTTCGCAATAACTTCTGAGGATCAAAGTTCTGAAAGGATCGGAAAGCTATGAGCGACTTTGCACCAGTTTTATGTCAGAAAAAAAAGTGAGAGGACGTAAGACTGACCAAAAGAAGCGATGCGAGTAATACCACCCCTATCGTCTTTCTCGTTTGTATGCCAACTCACTGCTCCGACCCAAAATCTCAGTGAGTCTCCGCCTCTATATCTCGAGGAGGCCTTATTTTGAGCGCTTTTTTAGGTCCGCCGTGGTTTTTCTCTCGTATGGTGAGGCCAACTAGCACATATTCCACTTATTTCTTTAAGTGCGGCTCTCAGTAAACCTCGGCAGTTTTGTAGTACTGTAAATTTTCTTCTGTTCACTCTTTCGAGGTTGATTAACCACTTTATCCGCTTACGCCTTTTGGCGGAACCGCTTTCTCCAGAGCCTGAAAGGACCGAAACGACTCGTGACTATCCGACCAAATGTCTTTACAGTACTACTAAAAGCCATACCTACCGCTCTGTCACATGCTCAGTTCAGACACCGTATTTCCAAAAGGTTGTTAAGGTATGGTGGGTCTAGCTCTCTCGAGACTGGTCGATAAATTAGTGTTTTGCTGGTTAATCACTGTTTTCAAACAACTAATATCAATATATTTGAACTTGTATACGCAATGGGTTATGTTCTCTTTTTCTCACGTATGCCTTATGCACACGTAATAAACTTACTTAGCGTGTACTATGCTATAGAAATCTGAAGTGAGCGTATGAGGTCAAATACGTAGGTCACGCCAATCAGCCAAGGAGAGCACTTATCCGTAACCCCAGTCTCATCTTCAGACCAGTAGGAAGCTGGGCTGGTCGCAGAACCAAATAGAACTGCTCTGCATTGAGAGCCCCTCGTGGAAGGCTAACCTTATATAGGGTGTCCGTTCCTGCGCGATAGTGAGGCACTCTTCCCTCCTATTCATTTTTGGATCGATGACTTGGAATGAAAGGCAGAAATGCCTCGAGGGTGTTTGCGCGGAGGTTTGTGCCTTTCGCCAAGATCTTATCAGGAACCCAAAATCTTCTCCGTTATGTATCTGAACCTTATGGGGTCCCAAGACAGTAGACAATCGTGACCTATTCTTGCCATCCAGATGCTCCTTCACCCTCACGCAAACCGGATGAGCCGTCTCGCCGATATATTGCTCCCAGGTGGTCTCGTAGAACACCCCTGTAGTACAATCATCGGTCGGGTAGACCAACAACCGGGGGCTGTGCGTAGGTGGTGTGCAATCCATTTCTCATCAGGCGGCGCTTTAAGTTGCAGGGTGGTATATTCACAAAGGCTACCGTGTTATCCAGACCCGACATCCTCAGACAACCCTTACAGAAATGCTCACCTCATCGGAGACGAATGGTAACATGCAAGGGATTTTCTGCTCATTACGCTACCACCGTGTCTGCTGTTCGCCCACCACTTTCGCTCGCTTTGTGGGTTTTCATAGCCATTCTTAACAGCTATATCTCGTACCAGTTCAAAGAACTCCTTCCGCTCCTCATCTCCCGAGCAGACGTGTGCGTTGTTCGGAACAGGGTCCTCACTACAGCGCGATTCATCTGGAGAGGGTGGGCTGACTGGCAGTGCACGATGATGTTCTTGCTGCTGGGCTTCCTGTACCACTTTGTCGAGAAGCATGCCGCCCTTAATTTTCAACTGAATGTTTAGGTAGCCAATTTTCTAGCAGTTCTTCCCGCGTCAGTCTTATGCGCTCGGATTGCGAGTTGAGCAGGCCATCTAGCTTTTGTGTTTAGCAAACCAAGCAATGTAACAACAGTATAGCATGGGGGAGGGTCCAAAACAGGGACCTCTACTCTGGCCATGGCCAAGGTGGGGGCTAATCGCTGTACATGGCTGACGCCCTAGCCTGCGCTGATCCTTTCCGTCGGCGAACTGCCCTTATCTGAAATTAGGGGAGTATTTTCTAGCTCCACTCATTCAACTTCTGCAATACCGTATATGTTGCGCTCGTTATTGGTCCTCTTCAGCTACTCCGCTTACTGGGGACGTTGAATCATTTGTCGACTTCTCCGCGCCGGGCTCGAGGTAGGCAGTCACCTCAGCTATATTCCAGCTCCGAGCTCCAAGAGATGCATGCTGCTTTAGCATGGCGGAGGTAGTATTCTGACTACTACCAATCACTGCTTACACTTCGGCTAGATGGCGCAACATTCCCAATGGCTAGCTCGTTTTGTTAGCGGCCCTGCATTCATTAGCAATAATTGTGAAGTCATGCAAGGGCGATTTCTCCAATGCTCGAAAAAATTCTTCTAGTTCATCCTAGTGACATCTGATGTCGTCCAACGTCGGGGCGCTTCCAAGAGGGATGGAGTGAGCTCAGACGCGACGCGTCGGACATTTCCATCAGTGATTATTCGAATTTTGAACTTCGATCACTAACCAATCTAGTGGTGGAAAAGAGAGCAGTAGGCAATCTCGTTCCGCCTCTCCTGACACCGCTCCGACTGATTGCATCATTACCAACTTTACCAGTTGTGAAAGATGAATGGCTAGTTTTCGATTTCCCGAAAAGACCAACAGAGCTTTGTTAGTCGTGATCTCAAGGAAATGGGAACCTCATCTTATGAAATTACAGCATCCATTCGTCCATTTTCTTCAGCCCCGGACCGAAACTGTAACGCGTTCTCCAACGTAAATATTGAGATTCTTGCAGTCACTCATGAATAAAGCCGTAACATTAGAGCATCACACGTGGATTTCTAGGCGTCAAAGCTTGCTTTGTGTTTTCAAGGCGTCTAATATTGTTTTTTCATTGCTACAGTAGCCTAAATAAATGGCAAACACTATATTTAAATAGACGGGCATGAAATGGAGGAGCCCTCACTCCAGCTCTGTTTCTTCTTCCCCTTCATATCTGATATTGTAGGTTCACTTACATAGACGGGACAGTTTAAATAAAACAATTTGGTTGTGTACGGTCTTACCTTACATTTGCGCGTTCTACGCATGAAGTTCCCTTGGGTGTACAGGGTTGACAAAAGATTACGGTGACAAGTAAAAAAGAACATATAAAGTCTATAGGGCCAAACAATGGTGATGAGAACGATGAAAATATCTTCTTGTCCTTAAGATTGAAGGATTAGGATGGAGTCTTCGCCGTTGATCGAGCGAGAGAGAGGGGGGGGGAGATGTAGAGCACTTGGTTGGCCTGGGCAAATGATCTACAAAGCTTGCGAAGTCGACCGGAGATTCGAGCTCCGGACCGCGCGAGTGGTAAGCGTGTCACTTGCCACTACACCACCTTCCCCTCCCACTAATAATATAACTGTTGCTTCTCTTGCTTCGGTTCTCTGAAACTCATCACAAGGATACTGAAATCCGCACAGAGGTCTTGAGTTTGTGCGAGACCCAAAATCATAATGAAGCACACTCCGACTTGGTTCAACAGCCGGCTTCAATGGGGCTCAAGGATGAGAAGGGTTTACGGCAGTTTTAGCTTTACCATATGTAAGGCGAGAAAGTGATCTACAAAACTCGCGAAGTTCAGCAAAGTAGACCTGCAAGACTCTTATGCCGCATCAACTGCAAGTTGCAAGTGGCAAAGTAATTTCAGTCTTCCGGAGGTTTCATGCTCAGAACTTTTGCCCCAACTTCTGGACAGTTTCTGGAAGGCATGGTTCCACGCAAGGGTGCTGGTACTTGGGCAGTACCGGGGCGTGGCCATGCAGGGGTTGCTGCTCTGCAAGGGAGTTTTTTCTACCGGTCTTTGTCCTGTCTCGGTCTTGATCGGGTCTCAGTCTTGGCAAGCCACTCACATCTCTCAACCTTGAACGAATAGAATGACCATCAGCGGACGGCCCTACTGTTTGTGAGATTTCAAGGCATCGAAGAAAACCTGGTAGAGAAGCGAGCTTTTGAGGCAAGTCACTCCGATGAATGTCAGCTGCAGCCACAAAGCCTTTACAAATGCACGCTCTCAGCCTGCCTACAGTAGAGATCGAAAGCGCAGTTTAGCGACGAGGGGCATTTTGCACTCTCGCTGCTTTACTAGTTTTCTACAAGTCTCATCCTGATGAAACATGTGAACTCTTGTGAAGCTAGAGCAAACTTGTCGAGCACCGCGGTAAAACGTGCCAGCTCTTGTAAGCTGATGGAACATCTTTCTAGATGGTTCGACACGTCTATGGGAAGCGACGAAAGTGAAAGATGTCTCCCCCCCCCTTCTGCCGACGAAGTGCCCCGAGATCAAAACCTCCACTTTCCATTCTTGTCCTGTGGATCCTGGAAACCTACAGCGATTTCAGAATGCGCTTTCTAATACCTCTTCTACTGTTACTGTGGCCAATGCTATATCATACTGGTAAGGCGTCGTCCATCATTATCCGTCAACGTCATCATGGTGGCCATCATAGACGTCCTGGATTCCACATGGATAGAGAGTCCACCAAGACGACTTGGCGATGATTCAGGTTTCTTAATTTAGTATAGAGCCCGGCTTCTCTCAACGTTTCTACAGACGTTTTCCACTTCAGTAGCGCACTTTTTTCGAGAAATATAATCGCACTAATGACAGATGAAAAGGATGACTACGGGAATGATAGGGTCAAGGTACGCGTATATCCTGAGAGGGTCAAGGTACGCGTATATCCTGAGAAGGTCAAGGTACGCGTATATCCTGAGCCATCTGAAAGACAAAGACACGGAATGATCGTACCAATAATCCTGAGGCGTAAACATCCGGTGAGTCTTATGATGACTGCTTTTTTCCTTTGGAAAGTGTGTACTTAAAAGCTTATGTCTCCAGATAAGCACACTGGACGAGAAACCCGACTCTGATTCCTAAGGAGTATACGATTTGAGTGGATGGCAGCGAGAATTCACTGTGCTTTGTCATGACGTTCCACCAATTAATTCGTCATGCAGATAAATCAAATAAAGCATTTTGTAACCTATCAAAGCAAAGACAAATCATTCAGTCTCTGCGTGCACTGGTCGGCAGCACTTTGGCATGCGCCGTGCATTCTACTTCAATTCTGAGTTGTTTGGTATTTAAAAGCGAACCACGCGAAACAAAAATCGGCATGGCTACATTTGTAGTGTGGTCAGCATTCGCCGCTAAGCCAGGTCTGCCACCAAACATCCGAAGAAAAACAACTTTGAAGACAAACTGAACACACAGTTCCGTGGGCCCCGGTCCTTGCCATGTGCGAGATGAACGGGGTCAGAGCTGCTGTAGCGTGCCACGTTCTTTTCAGACTGTGCACGGCGGCGATGCTGTAGGGTAGTGGTGCCCGAGTGACGTCTCCTTACTCCACAATCGCTGTCGCCCGCCCAGCCGCTCAACCTTAGCCAAACGCGCTACTTTTCTTCGTTCTCTAGGTTTGGTTTGTCTCTTACTCTGACTACGAGACGCTATATACAGGATCTCAGTAACGAAGCTAGTTTTACATCTCAAAGGCATATGGTACGATAATTTGGTACTCGGTCTAAAATGCTAGCAGGGTGCTTTAGAGTGCAGAAAATGGCGAAAATCGAAGTGAAGTATCCAACCTGCGAAGAACGTTGCGGTGGCCAGCCGATGTACAAGTCAGTGTTTTATCCTCCCAGACGAATCTGGTACCAATTTACCGTCCCCGGAGGGTAGAAGGCTTGGTTGGCCTGGGCGGGAGTCGACCCGGGATTTGAACCCGGCGCCGCGCGAGTGGTAAGCGCGCCACTTGTCACTACACCACCTCCGCGCCTTGCTACAATAGTGACTAAGAAAACAATTATGATAACAAGGGACCGGTGATATTCTCAAGGGTCCAGAAGAGCATATGGGATTCTAAGGCTTTCTCTAACAACTAATAGCTCTCGAATCTGTAGATTGCCCGACACCAACCCATTGAACGTAGGCTGCTAAGCCAATTTTTTTGTTGTGGTTCGGCAGCATGACAGCCTCAATAAAGCACTTATAGTTTACTGTAGTATTAATACTGCGTAGTAATTTGATGCAATTTGGCTGGTCGTTGCTTGATTTATTTATACATTATTTATCAAAAAATATTGTTATTTTCATTTTCCTGTTGTACACTGCTATGTTCAGATGGTATATTTTATTTAACCTTACATGATATTTTTAGCTATCAACAATCTGTAAGTGTAATAGGTATCGAACAATCTACAATTCTGTGAAGTACTACCCAATGTAATCGAAAAAAAAACCACTCGAAGCCCTTATGGACATCTGACCCCCCCATTGCTACCCGCGTATGAGTCCACTGAGATACTGCAGGCTGAGCGTTTGGTCGATTTTTGAACTGTTCTTCTGGACTGGACTCTTAGCTCTGATGTCTGCCTATGGCCCAGCCCCTAGCCTCTCCTTGGAGGTTTCGACCGTATTTCAATAACTATATATGTATGGAACGTGGTTCGATAAAGGTTACTGTAAGAGCATTAAAAGCTGCTTACAGTAGGGAGCATGGATTCGCAGTAGGGAGTATGGATGAGGGGGATGACGATGCCAGCACGACACACCAGTAAGGGGGTTTCGCTAACCATAAGACCCTTTCGCGCAATCCATGCTCCCTACTGTAAGCAGCTTTTAATGCTCTTACAGTAACCTTTATCGAACCACGTTCCATACATATATAGTTATTGAAATACGGTCGAAACCTCCAAGGAGAGGCTAGAGGCTGGGCCATAGGCAGGCAGCAGAGC